GGTAAAGTAACATTTCCAAGGTCATGCAGCTGGTTTGGGAGGACTCGGGTCAGAGTACAGGTCTCTTGAATATAATCCAGGGCTTTTTCTATGATACATCACCTCCTAGATGTACCCACAAAGGGGCCACCACACTCCCCCAGAGATTTTGGATGTGGAAGAGGGTAAGAAGAATAGCCTTTGTGCATGTAACCCCAGATAATTTCCCCAATATCGGCTTCCGTTGTGGTTGATAACCCAGATGCCTCAGTCTCAAGTTATTTGGGCCGGAGCTTCTGCTTCTAGCTCTATAATTACCACAGTTTCACTTGTCCTTTGAGAGGTGGGGGAAATAACTATACATGTGTACATGGACAGCTCTGTGCCTCAGTTTACCTCTATTTAAAATGGAGAGAATGACTGACCTGGCACCCTTACATCTGCTTCTTTGGAGCTCTGCAGAACAGTTGAATGGCACACAAAGGCATTTTGTGATCCCCACTAGGCAGAAAAACTTTCTGTACCCACACAGAGCTATTCTTAAGGTCAAGGCTGCTCTTGCCACATTTTTAATAATTCTGATGTCAAAATACCCCATTGTGGCTTCTCTGGCTACCCTCCATGCCCTCCAGGAAGGGCTGCCTGTCTTCTCTTGGTTTCTGGAGGGCTGGTGAAATACTTCCTGTGGGTAATCATGAGGAGCCCCAATTTTGAAGGACTGAACAAGATAAAAAATTCAATACTATGACTAGTAGCTAGCATGGAGCTCTTTTTAAGTGCTGGGCATTCTGCCAAACATTTCATATGCATTATCTCATTTAATCCTCAACTACATCCCTAGGAATGAAGTGTGATGCGTATTCCCATTTCACAGGTGTGCAAAATGAGGTTCAGAAAGGTTAAAGAGCTTGCCCAAGATCACCTATTTGCTGAATGAGGGAGCTGGGATTCAAACCCACATCCGACAGTCTCCAGGGGCGAAGCTCTGATAAAGGGGGCTTTATCACAGAGCACTGTCGTCATGAGGCTGACCATTCACGTCCTGCTGCCTGGTAGTTCCCAGTGGGATGTTACAGCCTGCCGCAGCTCAGGCCAAGGACAGCCTGGGCACTGCCACCCGGCTGTCTGCTGGGAGGCTCACGGCTCCCGTCGGATCGGGGACTGCCTGACCCAGCCTGACCAAATTAGAGCAGGTAATGGGTGTGACATAATTTGACATGTACATTGTTAATTGAACCCCATGGGAGATGATTTTAAATAGAGACAAATACCATACTGTGAACTATTTGGGTTATGAAGCCCTTATTCTCTGACTCTTGCAGGAAAAAAAAAAAAGAATTGTGTCATGATAAACTGAAAACACCCGAGCTGTTCCAGGGTCAGGACAGCAGCAAGCTAGATGGACCAGGAAAAATTCTTCCCAGGCGCTTCAGGGATTTATGCTCCTTTCCTAGCATTTTACCCCCCAGACACTCCCAAAGCCCACATTCGGGACCACTAAGTCTACCCATCCTCCCCCCGCCCCAGAGACTTTCTAGCCAGGGAGATCCAGAACCCTCATTGCAAAGCCAGCCCTGGTCAGACTGCAAAACAGGCATAGCGTGACATCCCCAGAGGCACCCCCACCCCACTCTCTCTTTCTCAGGTTCACGAACCCCAACCCACCCAGGGGCCTTGCCGAGGGCCCTACATTGGTGCGCTTTATCTGGGCATCACCCTATGCCCAATTGCTAGTCCCTTTCCCTTATCAGTAGAGAGACTTACCTGTCCTATTTCCCAGGACCTCATGCTTGCTTTCTGACTTTCCTAAAGAGTCTGGGTACCCTAAAGATCCTAATGGCTTAATGTGTGCTTATCCTCTCTGGTACCACCTGCCGGCTAGCACCCAAGAAATATCTACTATTGAATCAATGAATGAAAGTTAAGAGTAGTAAAGGTTGTCGGGAAATCCTATGCCTTCCCTCAAACCAATAAGCCTATTAACTGGCTTCCAGGCTAGTAGAAACGTCTTTGAGAGCAAGAAATCTTTGCCTTTTTATTTATTATTTATTTATTAAAAAAAATTTTTTTTAAATATTTTATTTATTTATTTGACAGAGAGAGAGAGATAGCGAGAGCAGGAACACAAGCAGGGGGAGTGGGAGAGGGAGAAGAAGGCTTCCCGCCGAGCAGGGAGCCCGATGCGGGGCTTGATCACAGGGCTCTGGGATCATGACCTGAGCCGAAGGCAGACACTTAACGACTGAGCCACCCAGGCGCCCCAAGAAACCTTTGCCTTTTAAAAAACTCCTTTAAATGACACTCCTTTAATAACACTTGCTGGTGAGGATGGCCAGGAGAGGTACAGGACACATGGTGGCCTCCCCACACACTTTCCCTTTTTTTTCTCCCTCCCAGTAAGGTCCCATACCTCCCCAACCATGCTGTTTGGAGGAAAAACCTTGTTACAAGTCTCTGAGTGGACCATCTGGTGGGTTCCTTTGTCATATATATCCTAGCCACAGTGATTGGTTTGGGGACCCGGTCCAGATACAAGAAGACTTTGCCAAGAGCTTCAGGGAACTTGTGGTCATTAGGTGAGACTGATGTCTTCACTGACATCCTTATCTGAAGCCTACGTGACCTCTGGACTTCTTAATTACATGAGAGAATAAAGCCTATTTTTATTTAAGCCAAATAAATACATAACACAATAATACATAACCCCTTCGTTACTTTTTATGACTGAACTCAGAGAGTCAGACTATTTTGTCATTTTAAATCACCTTTGTCTTACAGCCTACTTAACTTAAATATACCAAAAACCAAACAAATAAAAACCCTAATTTTTCACTCTTCAAAGGCTTCTCAAGATTGCTAGGCTTGTGATGTCCCAGGTGAATGAAGAGATAACAGTGGTTTCAACAAGATAGAAGCTTATTTCTCTCTCACGTAAAAGAAGGCTGAAATCTGGCTGGTATGGGAGCTATAGTGTCATCAAGGTTCCAGGTTCTCTCTGTCTTTTTGTTCTGCCATTCTTAGCATATGGCTTCCATCTTCACATTCACTTCATGGTCCATTGTAGCAGCCAGAGCACCAGCCATCACACTGATCTTCCTATTCCAGGAAGGCGCAGGGGGAAGGGAGAAGGGGGAAAAAATGAGTATGTCAGTAGAGTAGCACCTCTTAAAGAATCTTCACAGAAGACCCACACGACAGTTTAGGCTTATGCCTCAATGGCCATGGCAGCTGTAAATGTGGCAGATGAATGTATCATTCAGCAGGGCACATTGCCCCCGAGATTAAAATCTGCATTGCGTTACTAAGGAAAAAGGTGAGAGTAGATACTGGGTTGGCAACGAGCAGTTTCTGCCCCACCTCACTGAAACAAGCCCGGCTTTTGTGTTCAATCCTGCAGCTTGGTGCCCACTCCTCCAAGGAAGCCCTCTGGTTCAAGCTGCAATAAGTCTTTCCACAGGCCCTTAACAACTCCAGCTGGTTCCCCAGCCCACCCCCGCCCAGGACCCTCTGACCAGCATCTTCTGATTTATCCAGTTAAGAAGCATTCATGGAGCACCTACTGTCTACCACATTAGTCTTTCATCGGAATCTTGGCTTCAGTTGAACTCACAGCACACTTGGACTTCTCCGTTGTGCACCGGTCAGACCCCACTCACCCCTACCCTACTTCATTCACCAGTCTTGCCCTAGAGCTGTGTTCTCTCCAACACAAGCCTGCTCTCCAGTCATTGGTCTCTGACATCTGGCCAGCATTAGTGCGCTCAGTCCTGTGGCTGAGGGTGTTGTGGGCCCAGGGCAACGAGGGCTGTGGTCAGTAATAGCAACTCAGTCCAAGCTGGGGCTCTCTGAATCCTCATGGACGACAGGGTATGATTTTGCCTGGAGACAGGTGACTGAGTGAGGCCAGGGCAATGATTTTCAGTTCCCCCAAAGCCCTCTGGTTCCATATGGTACGTTTCAGGCCCCATCGGCAGCATTGTGGGCCTCTGTTCACAATGAAAGGCACAAACAAGGTGAAGGCAAGTAGTCATAATGAAGTGAATTACTGTCTTGCTAGACCAAAACATCTGCTCCTTCCTACCTCACCTGCACAAAAGTAGAAAAAAATCAGGAAAAAAAAAATCAATGTCTGATATTGCTAACAAAATGTGTTGCCTCGAGTCCTCATATAAAGAATACCTTTCAGAAGTATCTAGTGCTTTCACTTGAATTTTACCCTTTTGATTTTAATTATAAACTGAAAGCTATTGTAACTCAAAATCTTACATTCTATTATGCTTTTTCACATAGAAACATCATTAGGCAGATGTGAACAATTATCCCCCATTGGATTTTTTTTTTTTTTTTTTGAGTTAAAGTCTTCAGAGGAACAGCTAAATTGTGCTTTGAATCACTGGTTTAAAACTAAACCTAGGAGCGGATCCCAGCTGACAATAAGGGAGGAGGAGCCTGGGAGGCAGTGAAGGAGGAGGAGGGCAGAGACGGGGATGAGGATGGGTCCACCGGTGCCCCGAGGAACAGCCTCTGTCCCCACGGGTGACCCACTGTCGCCCAACCCCACCCTGCCCTCGCCAAGCTGCTCTGTGGTGCCCCTTGAAATATTGACTTGAAGTTGGATTATATTGAAAAGCTCCTGACCACTCTCTTTCATTAGCAAAAACTTGTGGTTGAGACCCAGCTGATAAGCCCGCCTCAGTGAACCCATCAGATCTCTCAAAGCCATAAAAGACCCTTTCAAGTTCATTTTGACCCACTATTTGCCTACCCCTTATGAAGGATGAAAGCATGAAACCAAATCAACATTGCTGCTGATACAGGTATCTTGGAGGCAGAAAATTTAAAATTTGAACATCTGTGAGTATTCTAATAGGACCACAAAGGGTTTTGTTTGTTTTGTTTTAAGGTGTTCAGAACCCTGTGGCAATTCCATTCAGCCTTCAGACCCAAAGCCTTTGTCGTCACTCCTGGGGAAAGCCCAGGCATGGTTGTATGGTGGGTGATTTTTCCTTACCGATCTGAGTATGAGTGCCCAGATTCCCCCAGCAGAGAAGGGCCTGAATTCGGGGCTGAGGTGCCAGGAAAGTTAGGCCTGCGGCGGGGCTGACCAAGCTGCCTTTGGTGTGGTGAGTGCTGCAGTCTGCAGTGTTTCCTCTGTGAGAAGGAGCATCATTGGCGGGAGAAGCCCTGGGACAATAGGACTCCAACCCGGCTGCACCCCTTAGCCGCCCCAGCAAGGGCCCCAGGGGGCATTCACCAGGGCCAGGTGCGAGGCAGAGGGCACCCAGGTATGAGGCAGAGGGTGCCAGAAGGGGCCAGACCTGTAAAATCAACTTGTGCCCGGGGTGCCAGAGAGGACTCACCTGGGGGGTAGCAAAGGGAGACAGCCCCTTGCTGTGTACCACATCACTAAGGTCCGGGGGTTGCTGAAGGAAGAAGAGCAGGATGAGACCAGGAGGAAGAAGATGACTGGGAAAGTTGTGAGTTTCCTCCAAGCGGAGAGAAAGGAAGACACATTCCAGTCGCCAGTGAAGGGGACTATTAGGAAATTGGACTGCAAACCCAGTCAGCCCTGGAAGGTGGTTTCCATTTTCGGAAATACTGCTGATGGAAAGTCTCACACCTCAACCACACTTTCTTTTATGGCCGGGAAGCCTTCAAAACCTCCCCTGCCCGGGAGCCCTGCACCGTGAGAGTATGGGCAGTGCACAACCTGGGCCACGGAGCAGGAGTAACAGATGTGGAGGGGCTCCCGGGGGCTACGGTGAGTCCCAGCCAGACAGCACAGCTGCTGCTGAAGGGCCTGGCCACCTCAGACCTCGCCATCCTTGGAACTCATGCAGATGGGCTGCATCATGACCCCTTCAAGTGCCCTGGGGACGCCTCTGAAGCGTATGTGAAGCCCTCTCCCAAGGAGCTCACGGCTGCCCTGCCCGCTGTGGCCTGGATGTCCCCTGGTCCACGCCGGGCACTGCTGTTGTCATTTTCCAGGACACTGAGCACACTCATCTGCTGGGCTCTGAGCAGCCCTCGAGGTGCCAGAAAAGCTCGTCCAGGACCTGTTCTGGAAGCGGGGTGGCTTCTCTGAAGCCTTCAGTTCCATTCACTACAAGGGAACGAGGACTTACCACTTCCCACGGAATCCCCCGGGCTTCGGCAGGCTTTGCGCCCTCGATCATTCTCCCCGGCACCCTGGACCCTCCTCCTGGGGCCTCGGCTGTGGGGCTGCGTGTAAGCGCTGCGTGAATCTTAGGAAAGGAGTACTTCATGAAGTCAAGGCCGCTGCAGGTACTCCCACCGGCAGGACTACTGAGTTTATACCCACAAGGCCTGTTGGGAGAAAGGCAAGGAAGCCAGCCGAGTGCCCAGGACATTGGCTTCCACCCACTCCCACTGGATGGGTCTCAAAAAAATGTGCCTGGGGTCTGGGTATGTGATTGAATGTCCTAACTGTGATGTGGCCTATCATAGCCAGCAATCCTGGTTTGGGAACCAAGATTCTGAGGATAGCTGGGTGCAGACAGAGACTGCGCCCACGTGGCCTGCAGTGATGGATTTCTGAAGGTCAACAACAGCACTGCCTAGCGCCTCTTGCACAGGATGAACTTCACGGCTCAGTTGGTGTCTGAGCTTAGCCATGGGCCCACCGGCGCTGTGACTTTCTGGCTGATGGACCAGCTCGCCTGTGCCTTCTGGAGCTGCACCAGGTAAGCTCCATCCTTCAGAGATAGTGACCTCCGGCACCACTGCCGGGCCCATGGGGAGGGCTTCTGTGACGGCTGTTCATTCAAGACCCAGTCGGTGCCTGAGCGGGTGTGTGACCACCTGCTCCGAAGCCAGTGAGAAGTTACTGAGGCACAGGTGGACAGTGAAGGCAGGACCCTTGGGAGATGGGCGAGGATGTGCAGAATGCAGGGCAGGGGGGGGCGGTGCACGGTGACAGCCACTGATGTACCAGTAGGTGTGGTGAAGGGTGCGGCCGGGCTGGCATGGCTGGGTGCTGATTAGGAGATTCCTGCTGGAAGGAGTTCAGCAACAAGCTTTCCTGTGGACAGGGCTTCTGTGATGAGCACTCTCACGACCTCCAGGCTGTCCCTTCTGGAGACTAAGACCAGACTGTCTGAGTCTGATTCCACTGCAGATAAAACCCAGTGACCTTAGGGTGCCTGGGTGGCTCAGTCAGTTAAGCGTCTGCCTTCAGCTCAGGTCATGATCCCAGGGTCCTGGCATAGAGCCCCGAGTTGGGCTCCCTGCTCAGCGGGGAGTCTGCTTCTCTCTCTGCCTGCCGCTCCCCCTGCTTGTGCTCTCTCTCCCACTCTGTCTCTCTCAAATAAATAAACAAAATCTTTAACAACAACAACAACAAAAAGCCCAGTGACCTTGAACCTCAGCTCCCTCTTTGAGTCCTTCACAATTCCTCAGGTTCTCAGAGTTCGTTAGAAATCTCGTCGAGGTAGGCCCTCCTTCCAGTCACCTCTCGTGCCGTGTGTCCTCTGCTCATCCTGGGGCCCCTTTCCCATGGTGAGGGGGAGGGGGGGCAGATGACAAGCCAGGGAGTGCCTGGTGGCAGGCTCGAAGGCATGAAGTTCTCAGGGCAGGGAAGGGGACAGTTCTAGCAAAGGGGAATGAACTTGAATCTGTTGCATTTATTTCAGTAAAAATAATATATATATGTATATCACGTACGGTATCACGTACGGAAGCTACCGGCTGTGAAGACTTCTCATGGTCTGTCCCCAGCACAAGGATAAGGTGGCAGCAGCGGCACGACTGACCCACAAAGCTGAGCCAGGTCCAGAGCCACTGGTTCTAGTCACGTCTGCCTTCTAAGCCTCTCCTCCCCTTGCCTTCTCCCTCATGCCTCACAGCTACTTGGGGAGGTGAGCGTCCCAGGCCCTTCCTGCTTGGAATAGCCTGAAGCAAATCTACCGGGGTGGCACAGAGTTAGATCCCAACTCCTGGCCTCAGCCCATTGCAGTCAGAGACCCCCCACTAGAGTGGATGGAGAGTGAGGGATAGGGTCCTCAGTCCTGAGAAGTCATCATGCGGGTGACGTGATGCCCCCGTACCTGGGGACAGCACGGAAGGAAACAGGCGCTCCCTGGCAGTGTGTCCTGCTTGTGGATGCTTCTGTCTGCGTGTCCACTCAGCTGTCCCAAAGGCCGCACCCTGCCCCCAAGCAGAGCACCTGCTCCGCTCCCCCCTCCGACCCTGGCAGGCGCACCATCTGCTTCTGAGTACGGCGCTAGAATTTTTATTGCTTCTTTTGAAGTGTGTTAATTCTTGGTTCCCAGATCATGAGAAATCCTCCAGGGAAACAGAGCACAGAATGGACTGTTAGTTGTCTTTTTTTTTTTAAGTATATACAAATATTTCAACAGACTGTTGTGCTGAAATCCTGTCACCATGGTGGATTTTATCTTCAATGAGCAAAAATGACAAATTAAAAGCAACATAGTTCTTGGCTGCACTAGCAGGTGGGTGGAGCTTCAGGGAGGTACGTGGCAGTCCTGCGGGGGTCAGTGTGACATGAGTCCTGGAATGTGTTGGTTCTCACTGCTCCCTTCCTGCCTGCTGTGGACCAGTGAGTGACTGAGGCTGTACTCTAGCCCTGTGTGTTATTAAATTCACCATTATAAAGGAATCTTCCTGTTGAAAAAAAAAAAGTCTATTATATTGTAGGTTTAACCAAGAAGGCTTGACTTTGGATTCAGAAAGTTTGTTAACTGGGCACCTGGGTGGCTCAGTCAGTTGACTGCCTCACTCTTGATTTCAGCTCAGGTCATGATCTCAGGGGCATGATCTCAGGGTCATGGGGTCCAGCCCCCCGGGTTGAGCCCCAGGTCAGTCTCCGCGCTCTGCAGGGAGTCTGCTTCTCTCCCTCTCCCTTTGCCTGCCTGTCCCCCTGCTCATGCACGCAAGCTCTCTCTCTCAAATAAATAAATCTTTAGTTAAGAAACTTTCTTATTTTTTTTAATCTAGTCATCCCTTTTATTGAAACTGTCTATATATTTTTAAACCCAATGATTGTGATAATGCATGCTTTAGGGCTAGAGGTGTTTGTCCTCTTGACGACCAAAGATAACGGTGAATGGTCTGAGGTCTCAGAGGCTCTGCTACTGTATTGAGAGACAGGTAAAGAAATCCCAGAGGCAGCTGTTGGCATATGTCCTCTCTGCTTTTTAATTTCCAACCACAGACGGTGACATCACAGTTACAGACATTTCCCCTATATTATTTGGATTAGACAGAGCTTTCCTCTTCAGGGAAAACAGGCAGCTTAATTTAAAAAGAGGTGCATTTTGCTGATAAGCCAGCCAGACCTGGGCGTCCCGCACTGTCAGTAAGGACAGGATCACTGCAGAAAAACGAAGAGTGGGAATGACTCTACCAGCCCCTCCCCCCACCCCCAGGAGCACTCAGTCTCCGGTACCCAAGCACATCAGGGGCACTGGTGGGCTGTCAGGGGACGTGTTTTTGGAGTCAGAGGAGATACGCTAAGGAGGGCAGACACGGAAACAGACAAGACTTACCTCAGGAAGGTCACTGGAAGGAGAGTTTACCCAGGAAAGACATTCTCCTCTGTCTTTGGGTAGAAGACCAGTGGGGCCTGGCAGCCCTACAGCCCGGGCTTCCTTCCAGGGCTGCAGCACTCCTACCTACAGGCAGTTGAGCAATGTGACCCTGGCCGCCGAGGAACCCTGGACAGGCCTCTGAGGCTGGGGAGCTTGACCCGTACTTCACTGAGGAGAAACTGCACTGTCCTCGGAGACACTGTGCTTGCCTTGACTTGAAGAGCCTCCCTCTGTTTTCCCCTCCAGCATATCCCCGCCTGATCGCCTCTCTCCTCCCCGCTGTAGCGTCTTGCTTAGAGGACCCTGAGCCCGGAAGCTGGGGGGTCTATAATTTTATAATGTGTGATGTTGGGTAAGTCACTTCTCTGTGCCTCGGCTGCCACAACTGTAGAATGGATATTATCCTCACATTGACCTGATAGGACTGTTAATGAGCAGTCAGCGAAATCCTCTCGAAGAACGTTCCCTGGCTCCTTGTCAGAGCTCCATGAAGGCTAGCTATTGCTACGAGAAATAGGGGAACTTCTTCCGTTACGTCTTCTCCCTGGATTTCCACTTCAATAAGGCACACGTTGGCCTTTCTCCAAACACAGAACAAAGACGGTCAGAAAGTGAAATGTCTCACCTGGCCTCGGAATCCCTTAGTTCTCAGTGTCCCTGAGGTATCAAAAGAGGTCTGCGTGCGTGCCTGCTCTGTGTGCGAGGCTTCTTTGAGTTACACAAAGTCACTGCTGACTTGGTGAAGTTTTAATGTCACGACGAAGGGCCAAATCGCGTTTGCTCAACTGGTAGTGCTCAGGCTTCGGGAACGTGTGGGTAAAATGTAACTAACGTTATCTTGGTTCAAATTCCTTTTTCGTGACTGACTGCTGTCTCAGTGAACCTTTGCAGGGTTTCTGTTTGTTTTCTTAGTTACAGCAGAGAGTAAAATAAGCGCATCCAGATCTTCTCACGTGGAGATAAACTGATGCCAAATTAGGTCTGTGGAGGCCTCATTTTGGCTTCTCTGGTCACCGTGCTGAACATATTTTCATGCACGTTGAAGACAGTCCATTAGTTCTTGGCAAAGAGAATTAAGTTTCAAAGCTGCTCTTTCTAACAAGCCTCCCCTTTCTCATGCACAAAACCTTGCTGAAGGGAGGGGCGGCCCCCTATTTATGGAGAAAAAGGGCAAACTCCCTCTGCGATTGTCCTCCCACAGCCCTGAGATCCATCACCTCCACGACACCCCTGGACTCTGATTTGGGCTCAATCTTTAAGGCCCCAGTGCACTGCCCCAGATTAAAACATGGCCCTCCCTTTCAGGGGAGAAGCATTTCTATTTCAAAACCATATAGTACGAGCTTTGAAAAGTAGTTTACAAACTTCTTTGCCTCTGGGGAAGACATGTCCATTCACATTCGAAATGTTCCCTCCATGCCTCCTGTGCGTTGACCGTTGACCGGGGGTTCTGAACTTGAACAATGCAGCTGAAGAGGAAACAAAGAAGTTTCGCCTCTATCTGTTACAGTGAAAATACAAGCCACAGTGATGTGGAGCAGACCTGGATTCTCCCTGGAATCCTTAGACTGGTTCCTGGGAGAAAAATCCAATAGATTTCTGTGATGGTACCTAACCACCACCAGGACTGTGGACTCCTTGACCCAAATGTGCTCTGAGCAAAGCCTCCTTCCCTAAGGGAGTGAGCACTGTCGTGAAAGGTGCTGAGGTGCTAAGGATCAATATTCACTGGCAACCAGCATTTTGGAGCATGGTTACCATGGTAACATTGTCAGCCCCAAATGACTGTCATGAGGTGAAAATATCCTCTTAAAATAAATGAAACCAGAAAAAGTATATTTATAAACCTCTTACCAAACACCTATCTGTTCACAAAGTAGAATGTGTTCTTTAAGCAAGAGACACTCAAAGATTGGGGGAAATTTCATGACATAACCATTTTCTTAAATTAAACAAACTTTTACTCTCACCCTCCACAAAATGGCTTGTCAAAATAAAAAAAATACAGATTTTTTTTTTTAATGGGAAGAATTCTAAGGAATTATGGGCTTGTACACTTAGATCTAATATTACACAATTGTGACATTAAAATTCTGCATTAAACTACCAATAGCTTATTTGAGATTTGTAAAATGGTGGTTGACTGGAAGTTTTCTTATGTCTTGGTTTTATAAATTATTTCTGGCAGGATCAGTAAATACAGTGTCATAAGATCTGTTAAGCAATGGGGAAAAGACATTGGCCAGGCAGATAAAAACACCTGGGCACAGTTTTTGCCTTGCTCTTGTGAAGCTCCATCCCTCGCCTGCCTTTTCTTACTAACAAAACCACAATTTTATTTAGAGCAGCAATGTGCCCAACCCCAAATACTCAATTTCATAGCCTCCCTTGCAGGTAGAGGTGGCCATATGATATAGTTCCAGCCAGTAATATACAGGCAGATGTCCCGAGGAGGGTATGGTTGGGAGACAATTCTCCATGGTCTCACATTTCTGCATATCTTTCAAGCAGTGGGCCCTGACTCTCTTTTGTTTCGGACTATCTTCTCAAGCATGTTTGAAAGGCATACAACCTTGGAAAATAGACATACTGTCTCTCCAGAGTAACGGGAAGGCTTGCTTGGAACCTGGGAAGACAGAAATAATGCTTCACTCCAGAGCAAAGGACAGGCCTGCCTCCTGTTATTATGTAAGATTTGGGGTCCCTAAGCACAGTGTTCCTCTTCTGTAAGGCAACCCATTGTGTGTGTAAATATTCCTGAGGGTCTATCTGGATTTCCAGATGAAGATAGGAAAAAGCTCTTGGCCCCT